GAAGTGACAGGTGAATTTCTGAGCTATAGTGAAGAAAAAAAGGGAAAAATAAATTAAAAACCAGCACCATAATAAAAAAAAACGGCATGGGGGTCCCCCCTCCCATCCACACCAAGCCCTTCGGATCTGGTATGGATATTAAGGGGTAACTCCACGCCGAAATTAAATAAAAAACCTCACAGCTTGGGGATCCCCCCTTAAAATCCATACCAGGCCCTTATCCGAGCATGCAGCCCGGGGACAGGTCAGGAAAGGGGGGGGGACGAGTGAGAGCGCCCCCCTCCAGAACCATCCCCAGGCCACATGCCCTCACATGGGGGGGTGCTTTGGGGCAGGTGGGCTCCCCCCCCAAAGCACCTTGTCCCCATGTTAATGGGGACAAGGGCCTCTTCGTTAGTGGGATAATTGGTCGGCCACTTTTTTGGTATTTTAGCAATATTTTGTTTATCAGTAAAGTTGGAAATATTTTTTTTTCCAAATTATTGATAAAAAAATGTGTTAAAATCCCGAAAAACGGGACCTATTGTAGCAGTGGCTAAAAAGCAAGACCAATTAACCCACTAACGGCCCAAAAATTGTTCGATTTTTTTTTCGGCAGAAAAAAATCGGCCGATTTTAGACCCATCTATGACCTGCTTTAGATGGGTCTAAAAATTGGCCGAAAAAAAAAATCGGCTGGGGTATTTTCGGGCCATTAGTGAGTTAATTGGTCAGCCATTTTTTGGGATTTTGCACTTTTTTTAATGGGTAAATTTGGATAAAAAAATCGGCCGATTTTGCAGATCGGCCGAGTGGAGTTGAAACTCAAAAATTTGCAATGATCGGCAAACTGGCTGATCTTTTTACAGATAAAAAATCATGCACATGAGCCATGAAAACCCCAAATCAAATCTCAGGAGAAAAGAAGCAATATTCTAGGGCTCAAATGTGTCCCACTCTACACAAGAAAAAAACATGAAAAAGTGGACTGAGCAGCAGTTGGAGTCAGTGCAAAGGCCATCAAAAGCCACACACACAGACGGATCATGGACATGGGCTTCAAATGTCGTATTCCTCTTGTCAGACTGCTCCTGAATAACAAAGTCAGAAGCGTCCTATCTGGGCTAAAGAAAAACAGACCTGGTCTGTTGCTCAGTGGTCCAACGTCCTCTTTTCTGATGAGAGCAACTTTTGCAACTCATTTGGAAACCAAGGACCCAGAGTATGGAGGAAGAATGGAGAGGCACACACTGCAACATGCTTGAAGTCCAGTGTGAAGTTTCCACAGTCTGTGTTGATTTGGGGAGCCATGTCATCTGCTGGTGTTGGTCCACTGTGCTTCCTTAAGTCCAGGGTCAACGCAGCCGTCTACCAGGAGATTTTGGAGCACTTCATGCTTCCTTCCGCAGACAAGCTTTATGGGGATGCTGACTTCATTTTCCAGCAGGACTTGGCACCTGCCCACACTGCCAAAAGCAGCAAAACCAGGTTCAGTGACTGTGGGATTACTGTGCTTGATTGGCCAGCAAACTCGTCTGACCTGAACCCCATAGAGAATCTATGGAGCATTGCCAAGAGAAAGATGAGAGACATGAGACCGAACAAAGCAGAAGAGCTGAAGGCCGCTATTGAAGCATCCTGGTCTTCCATAACACCTCAGCAGTGCCACAGGCTGATAGCTTCCATGCCATGCCGCATTGAGGCATGAATTGCTACAAAAGGGGCCCAAACCAAGTACTGAGTACATATGCATGCTTTTCAGAGGTCCGATATTGTTCTATGTACAATCCTTGTTCTATGTACAATCCTTGTTTCATTGATTGCATGTAATATTCTAATTTTCTGAGATTGTGGATTTGGGGTTTTCATGAGCTGTAAGCCATAATCATCACAGTTATGACAAATCATGGCTTTACAAAAAATAATATTTAAATATAATAATATTTACTTAAAACTTGTCTTTTTTATTTTACCCCAAACATTGGTTATATGTGCTTGTGTGCCCTAAAAGTAACTTACTGTATTTTTACTGAAAATATTTGATAAACATTATGTGACTCAATACATTTTTTTTTTTTTTTTGTTTTTTTTTGGGTCCCTGCTTTCAGAAAACATATAATGTGTGGGGGCTTTAACTAATCTTCAGTTCTAAAATGTACATATAAACATGTAGCACAAACCCCCTGAGGGGTCGCTGATTGACTTTTTTGGGGGGTTCCTTGTCTTCCCTGACCCCACTTTGAAGGCCCAACTCTTGTTGACACTACCTTAAACCTCTTGACAGAGGGACCCTTTGACTGCAACCACAAATTAGACTCACAGACTGTTTAGAGTCAACTGAAATCTTAGTTGTATTAAGATTAAATGTAGGCACAGTAAAACATAAGAAACATTTGTGCATAAAATAATAGCACTTTAGTAAATTTAAGCAAAAAATCACACACAGTAAAATCCCAATCAGTCATGGATGTCCTGCAGTTCAGAATTTAGCCAGTAACCCCAGCCTGAGAGGTTTCTCCCTAGTGAGCAAGAAAACTACCAAACAGAGCAGCTAGCTCACTTTGGGCTCTCAGGAGCAGGTGACAGGGTTCATTTCTGAGGCTAAAGAAAGGGAAATCTTGAATTGAGTAAGTCACTGTCCCTTTAAACCACAGCATAAGATCTTCTGCCCGATTGATGGGACCCGGGTTGGTGCACTATAACTTCAGATCCCTTTGGAAGCAAATGTAGAAGTTCCTCAATAAGGTGTGAACACAGAGGAAAGGGGCTGCCTCTTTAACACGCACAGGGCAAGATGTAAATTTAGGCAGGGATTAAAGGATGAGCAGAAACCCTCTTTGTAGGCATAAATACCTCTTGCGACTCCATTGGCAATGCAGAAATTCTTTGGTGAATGTGGGGACGATTGTATTGGAGTGAACTAGGCCTTAACATGTGTAAGTTGTAAACCGTGTCAGTTGAACTTGGGCAGGAAGTAGCAACTTGAATAATGTCATTGGTAATTTAAATAGTTTGACCCATCCGTGGCCCGACCCATCCGTGGCACCGACCAGGTAGCTGATGGTCTCTCAGCAGATGGGGGCCCCCAGTATTCCAGTGGTTCCTCCTTCAGAGATCACTCCAGACAGCAGCACTCTGGGCCTCCAGCCCATCAGGCAGGTCACCAGACTTGTAAGCGGTCAGCAGCTTTTACTTCTCCCTTCTCTCTCTCTCTGCGGCCCAGCTTGGCCCGGTCCTTGGCCAGCTGTCAATCCAGTAAAGTCCTGTAGTCAGCCTACGATTTCCACAAAGCTTTGCACAACAAAGTCTGCACAATTGGGCTTCAAGACACTGCCATCTTTTGTCCATTTAACATCCTGCAAGCAGTATACAGGCAGGGTGTTACAAACGTGCACAAAAAGCAAAAATGACTCTGGAAGGTGTGACAGTGCAAAGCCCTGCCATGGTGTGAAGTTAGGAAAGGTATATACTGTAGAGATGAAACAGGATTCTCAAAGTTTCAGTTTGAGAAGCTCCATCATATGAGTTGAGAAACCTGTGTTTTAGGTTTGATAGTCCTGGATCAGGGCGTGGAGTTTGAAGGTTCCAAAGTGTCTTGGGTGGGACAAAGCCTTCAATCCTGTGTCCAGCAGGTAGTGTGTGTGTCCAGATACACACACTTGTTATAATCCTGATCAGTGCTACTCAGTGCCTGCCATTCAATGACACAGCCTTTGTGTGAAGATAATGGAGTTCTGCAGCCAAGAAGAGTGACCTACTTGGGAGATAAATACCCCATGTTGGGAGGACTTCTTTCCCAAATGACTGGGGAAAGTCAGGACAGTTGTGTGGTTCTGGAGAGACTGGAAAAGCTGAGGTAACTATTGAGTCCAGGGAGGCTGGAAGGAAAGTGAGCCAGAAGAACCCCCCTGGTCCAGGAGACCAATGCTAACAGCAGCAATGCTCCTGAAGTGTAGCCAGGAGGGCTAGCATTTTTTAGTTCCCATTTTTTGATGTTGAAGAACCAGTCTGTGAACTTTATCGCTGTGTGAGCTTTTTCTAGTTTTGAATTTCTGTTTTGCCTTTTTCAATATAAGGAAGAACACTTACCGTATTTGCCGGCGCATAAGACGACTGGGCGTATAAGACGACCCCCTACTTTTCCTGTTAAAATATAGGGTTTGGGCTATACTCGCCGTATAAAAAACTACCCCTCTTCCAACGCACACCAAAAATTAAAAAACATCAGATTTGATTTCAATATGGTATGGTATTCCAATGATGGGGCACGCTTCCTCACTCTGACACCAATGATGGGGCACTATTCCTCCCATTGACACCAATGATGGGGCACTATTCCTCCCATTGACACCAATGATGGGGCACTATTCCTCCCATTGACACCAATGATGGTGCCCCATCATTAGTGTCAGTGTGTGAGGAATAGTGTCCCATCATTAGTGTCAGTGGGAGGAATAGTGCCCCATCATTGGTGTCCGTGGGAGGAATAGTGCCCCATCATTGGTGTCAGTGGGAGGAATAGTGCCCCATCATTGGTGTCAGTGGGAGGAATCGTGCCCCATTATTGGTGTCAGAGCAACGAATCGTGCCCCATCATTGGTGTCAGTGGGAGGAATAGCACCCCATCATTGGTATCAGTGGGAAGAATCGTGCCCCATCATTGGTGTCAGTGGGAGGAATAGCGCCCCATCATTGGTGTCAGTGGGAGGAATAGCGCCCCATCATTGGTGTCAGTGGAAGGAATAGCGCCCCATCATTGGTGTCAGTGGGGGAATAGCGCCCCATCATTGGTGTCAGTGGGAGTAATAGTGCCCCATCATTGGTGTCAGTGGGAGGAATAGTGTCCCAACATTGGTGTCAGTGGAAGTAATAGTGCCCCATCATTGGTGTCAGTGGGAGAAATAGTGTCCCATCATTGGTATTAGTGGGAGGAATAGTGCCCCATCATTGGTGTCAGTGGGAGTAATAGTGCCCCATCATTGGTGTCAGTGGGGGGAGGAATAGTGCCCCATCGTTGGTGTCAGTGGGAGGAATAGTGCCCCATCATTGGTGTCAGTGGGAGGAATGGTGCCCCATCATTGGTGCCAGTGGGAGGAATAATGCCCCATCATTAGTATCAGTGACACCAATGATGGGGCACTATTCCTCCCACTGACACCAATGACACTTGCTGACTCCTGTTCTAGTATGGTACTGCTGCAGCCAGTTGCAGCAGCACCTCTGCACTGCACACTTACCCTCTCTCGATTTTCGCGGGTCCGCTCGGCTCTGCCTCCTCGCCCGTGATTGGCCACCTGTGTGCCTTTCCTGAGCTACAGTTCTGGTGGCCAATCACCAGTGAGGAGGCGGAGCCGAGCAGCAGGAGTGAGGGAGTGGCCGGAATGACTGAAGGAGCAGCGCTTCCTGGATGGATCGTCGTGGGAGCCAGGTAAGAGACTGCAGCCCTCTGCCCACCCCTGTACTTGGTGTCCCTTCCGTCGGAAGCACCGCGCCGCCCCCCTAAAAAGTGCCCCCTGACGTGTACCGGCGTATAAGACGACCCCCGACTTTTGAGAAGATTTTCAAGGGTCAAAAAGTCGTCTTATACGCCGGAAAATACGGTATTTATTGGGTGTCTTAATTTTTGCACACTGGGAATATGGAAGTTGGATATGAAGTTTTATAAGAAAATTGACTTTTGTTTTATAGTTCTATGGAAGTATCATACTGTAATTTGTATATGAATTGTAGAGGCAATTAATTGCAATTAATTGCATCTTTATTTATAATAGCACCTAGAGTGATTCACAGTATATAGGAGCTCGGTATATATTGTTTGCATATTTTTAGGCTTTTTAAGCTTATTAATGAGCAGCTCCATATTTATATCCACTTTTACATCCACATTTATATTCACATTTATTTAGAATTTTGAAGGAAGCGCAATCTTTTTTTTTTTAAAGTTACACCCAGCCATAGTGACAGTGTGTGGTAACACCAATTGGAGTGTAGGGCAGGACTTGTTTTCCAACAGATGCCAGACAGCTGATTCACTAACACAGAGGGTGTCTGGGACTATGCGACATCATTCCTTGCTATGGAAATAGCCTGGGCCAAGGGAATCGTCTGAGGTCTTCACAGGACTGAGATTGAGCTCTGCAGTCATTTTGCAGCAGTTTTTTTCTTATTCTGGGTCACAATCCTGCGCAATGTCTTTTTGTCTCTTTAAGATCAGACAGAAACTGTATATTCCGTCATAACCTTTTATACTGTACCTTGTGACACGGCAAATAAATTGCCAACTTCAGTTACAGAGGCATCAGCTAAGCAGGCACCACCAATTTACCCTCTATGAAGCTCAGTAAGCTCTGATACGGCTCTGCAGCACTAGCAGTGCAGGCAGTGAATGACATAAGTGAGGGTTCCTACCTGTTAGCTAGATGTCTGATCACACAGTGAAAGCAAAATAATTTTGCATCACTTTCACTTTCAGCACGAAACAGGTCTCCATTTTCACATCTGCAAATCATGTAGTGTTTCCATTTTTTATGTCTAACCCCCATATGTGCCACTTTTGCTGCCTAGACAGCACATGGGTTGGCAAAGGCATATTTTTACTTTTATTTACTTATTTATTTTGTATAACCTTATGACAGACTGTTACTTACCACACCAGACTTGTTGATATGCTTATAAGTACACTAAAGGGTCTAGTTAAAAAAAAAAAACACATTTTATAATTCACAGAGGTGTGCTTTACAAATGTGTATTGCATCTCACTTGTATTTGTCATGTGAGGCAAATGGACCCCAATTTAGATGCACAAAAAAGTAGTAAAGGGGAGATCCCGGTCATTTGACCTCTCAGAATAATTTGACTGGCCTCTCCACCACCATCACAACATTCTATCTGCAGCATTCAGCTGAATGAACTCCATAGGACACTGTGGTATTAATTGAGATCTGCATTTTATGAATTGGAGGAAAAATGCAGGCTCCCATGTGGAGTAATATTGCTGTGTCCAGGGGATAGTAGTATACACTCACTGTTTTAAATTGGACCCATGAGGCTATATCATCATATGCAACATTTTAAATCTTGTTGTCATTGGCAATTCACCAGCAATAGAATCTGCAAGTAGCATTCACATGTTTCCTTGGCATTATTTCCTCACAGGCCAAACCAGCAAGGCACATTGTTGCTACTTTCTCTAGCAAACAGGATTATGCAGCATGTTGAACAGCAAGGAAGCTATGTTGTGGGAGCATGTTACAGTAGTGACAGTGTCTTTAGGGACAAGTTTCTGGGTGTGTCAGTAGGTACCGACTCTGTCTCTGTAGATATATTTCTGATTCTGTCAGTAAGATACTTATTGTGTCTCTGCAGGCTCCTTCCCTACGTTGTGTTTGGCATGGATTGTGTATCTATAGCAGCCTTTCTCAACTGTTTTACCCCAGAGGAACTCTTGCAATAATTTTAAGGTCTCAGGAAACCCTTACAAAAATGAATTAATTCCTCCTAATGACACCAATGATGGAACACAATTCCTTCCAACGACACCAACGATGGGACATAATTTTTCCCAATGACACCAATATACCAATAATTGTGCTCACTGACAATGGGCACTCATGCGGGCTTGCTCTCAAGCCCTTCTGTGTGTGGGACTCAGGTCTGCTCCCTCTTCAATGGCTGTGATTGACAGCAGTAGGAACCAACGAGGAGAGAGAGACGCAGGAGACTCGCTGCTCTTGTGCACATTGCTGGATCAAGATCAGCTCAGGGGGCTTTGCGGGGGAGCCAGATACAGACTTTTTTTTACCTTCATGCACCTTCATTAAATAAATAGACTAAATTAAGTGAAGGTGGTGTTGATCTCTGAACCGTGGAGGACTATCAAATAGGAAGTCCCTCAGCCATAGCTTAAGGAACCCCTGGCAACCTAAGGTTCCCTGGAACCCTGGTTGAGAATGGCTGTTCTATAGACATGTTTTTGTTTGTGCCAGTAAAGTACATTCTTGCACCTGAAAGAGACCACATTGAAGAGAGGGCTTTCCTTACACCTCCTATCCAGTACACCTCTCGGAGTGTAGCAGGGCATGGTTTGGCTGTGGTGCCTGCAGTGGGTCCAGATGCAAGAGCTGTTCAGAGGACAGTCTGTGAGCTGCAGTGCTGCTGTAGACGCTAAGATGCTGATGCATTGGGTATTCTGCAAAAGAAAGGGGAAGAGTCATAGTCAGGATGAGCAGGGTTAGCATCAGCCAGACATCAGAGCTACAAATTCAGAAGCAGGATCAAGGTCAAAATGCAGGCCAGGGTCAATAACAGAGAGGAAGCAGAGATAACAAGACAGTGTAGTCAGGAAATGAGCCAATGTAAGCAACAGGAGATCTGTATGCAGTGGAGATTCAGGATACAAGCCATTTCAAACACTGGATAGCAGAATGCAGATCAGGTAATGGACCACAGGAGTCAGCAACAAGTCAACAACTCTCCTTTATTATGCTGTGCTTTAAATAGGTCTCTTGGCTGTAAAGCTAGTGCTGGATGTGCACACTCATTCATGCTAATGAGCATGTACATTGGCAAGTAGTTAGCATGTCCACCAATATACACAGTCATGACCCTATGCAGGGGCCACAATCTGTAATATGCACATGTGAAGATCTCCAAGCATGCCCGTGCACTTCACGTTTTGGACAAATAATGATTATGCATCTACAGAAATGTTTTTGCTTGTATTAGCACAGTAATGGTTCTGTCTATGCAGTTACATTTCTGGTTGTGTCAGGACAGTGTTGGTTATATCTCTGTTAAAATGTTTTTTTGTTTCAGTATGGTACTAAATGTGTGCCTGCAGAAACTTTTTTGGTGGTGTCATTATGGCAATGATTGTGTCTCTGTGGGCACATTTTCTTTTTAATAATTTATAGAGAAGATTTAATAATTTATATACAACACAGGTCTGCGACTAAAAAGCTGTTTGATTATTTTCATCTAATTTCCATGTATTTTTGCATGTATTTTGGTGTGCTGAAAACAAATAAAATATTGAAAAAACTCCTAGATGTCATGATTTGCCACAAAATGCAAAATTGTCTTCAAATTTATAAAAAAAAATGTAAATTTTTGGTATTTTTTTTATATTATGGTTTTTTAACCAAATTTAAAGTCCAAATTACTAATAATTAATTCACATAAGTGCATTTAAGATATAAAATGCCAAAAAAAAAAAAAACCTTAAAGGGGTTGTCCGAGTTATGTAAAAAAAAATATAGCACTGTAAATCTGATGGTCAGCAATATATACATAAGCTAAGGAAGTGTCAGGGATCTGGGTATGACCAGAAATGTGTGGACTGACACAGGGAAGTAACAGGCTTCAGGAATGATATAATAACAATACAATTTATTATTAGCCACCCAAATATACAACGCACAGTAAACAAACCAACCTTCCACTAATCTTAGTATGTGCAGGAACACAGGCGTAGTCAGGGCTGGAGAGGTGGAATGGTTAACAGAACCATATGGCCGGTCTGGCCATATGGTTCTGTTAACGACTGTCTGGTGGTACCTCTAGCAGTCCTCAGGACAGGATTTCCCAGGGCGCGGAGTCTAAGTCCCAGTCTGCTTATTCACCAGGGCCCCTGATGGTGGGGATGGACTTGGAGCAGACAGGAACCAGGTCGCGGCCCCTGAGTACACCTGCTCGTGGTAGAGGGATCCGCCAGAGGTATATACTGATGTGAAGAGGCAGAAGGTGTGAGCAGGGATGGCTGGATCCGTGCAGGATGGATGGATGGATGGTCTGGGTAGCGTAAGGCGTAGTCAGGCAGGCCAGGTCAGCAACGTGCGGGCAGCAAGGTACCGAAGGAGCAGGCAGAGAATGGTCAGGGTCACAAGCCGGGTTCAGTAACTCATGGGCAGCACGGTACAGAGGATCAGGCAGAGAATGGTCAGGGTCACAAGCCGGGTTCAGTAACTCACAGGCAGCATGGTACAGAGGGTCAGGCAGAAGGATGGTCAGGCAAGCCAGGGGTTAAACAGGAGACGGTCAGCAATAATGCAGAGGTCGGCAACAGAAGATAGGCAGAGGAACAGGAACACAGGATACCAGGTACAGGGGCTCATGGGAAACAATACACCAAGGCACTGACTGCAGGTATGGCCATTCCTTAAATACACCTCCTGCAATCAGCCTCAGGTGATGGCTGATTGCAGGAGTGAGCTTCTGGTTGCTGAGAGCACCCGCTGGCCAGCCATGGTACTGCAGCCCACACGGCAGGTGAGTCCCACCACCAGTGGTGAATCCATTCCTGACAGCAAGTTTTAGGGAAAAAAAATTCTATTTCCTCATTTCCCTAGTTCTCTTCTGGCCCTTTGTTGTTATTTGCAGGTAAACAATCTCTGCCCCTCCCCCCCTGCAAAGGGGGTGAATACAAGTGCTGCTCTGAGTGACATGTCTGACTACTGGGATACTCAGCAGCATGCTGTGTGTGTAAGCCTCAACCCTGAGTCTGTGCTTCTAATGGTAGAAGGGGTTTGTCACGACCCGCGGCCGCCTCCACCAACAGGCGACAATCGCACAGCCGCGACTAACAGTAATACGTCACGCCCACGGCGTCAGACCCCAGACCTTCTCACCAAACTCGTGACCGAAGGGCCGGCCGATCCAAAACCGTGGTGTGACACGCGTAACAAGGCCCCACCCAGCTGCACCCTATACAGCGATTGCCCAGCTAATGGACTACAATCGGTGCCTGCAGCCTGAATGCGCTTGTTACTGGGTCGGGTTAGTTACGCAACTAACCCTCTACTGCCACCACCACTTTTGTCGGAGACTGGGAAACTCCCGTTACCAAATATACACTATAATGATTGAAATATTGATCTATATAGCACGGACCACGGACCTGCTATACAGAGATATGACAACCCGTAGCGTCTCTTCAAAGGCAGGGATTCGTGAATTGCAAGTAAGCGCTTAGAAACAGTTTAACACGCGACTGGGAGGGGTGGAGCCTGACCATGGAGGCGCGAGAGAGCGGAGATTAGACGCTCTCCGATAACCTTCCCCTCCTAACCTCCCTAATGTGTCCGTAACCACTGAGCTACCGAAGACTCTCCGAGAAAGGTGGGGGATCCTGGCGGCGGTGCGGTGGCTTGTTGGGGAGTAGGAAGCCGAGGCGACTATCCGCTGGAGGACTGCCGGAGGTGATCCCGGAGAGAGAGTGGGGTTGCCAGGCGACGAGGAGAGCGGAGTAACCACGTGGGCTTCCGCGGGGGACTGCTGGGAGAAGAGGAAGCCGGCTGGCGTCCTAAGAGACTGGGGGAAAAAAACGCTGCCTGTGTCTTGCCACCAAGCAGACCCCAGGAGAGGCTGTACGACATAAGAAGAAAAGGAAAAAAGGGACCCACTAGGAACCCCCACCAAGAACATGGCCGCAGGAGATCAAACAACCCAGAACGGTAAAACTTTGAAGCAGCTTCACTGAAGTGGGTGAGTGAGAACTGTTAATCTGCCTACATGATTACTATTTGGCTACTGCTATAGCCCATTTTGATAAGCACCTTGAGAAGTAAGGAGGGGGTTCCCAGAGAGGGTCTGAAGATTAGAGAAGAAAAAGAAGAGAAAGAAGTAATAGCTTAAATATAGACTAAAGAGCCTTAAAAAACCTTTAAAAACCTTACAGGTGACATGAAAGGGAAAAATAGCAAAGGTAATATGCTCAAGAATTCCCAAATTCAAACTGCAACGATAAAAAAATATATATCGCTGGGGAAACTGACTCCTATAAGATCCCAGGAAATAAGTGAAAGGAGTGACCTGGAAACAAGCTTAGATAATAGCTCAAGATCCTCCCTGGGAGCAGCCAACAATAGTCAACAAATAATTGAAGGGATAGAGCTGGGAGAAACTGAAAAAGACTTGCAAATACCGAATAAAAAGGAAATGGCGGAGATGTTTAAAAACCTGGAAAAATCTATAAAGCAAGAGATGGGGATAATGCGGAAAGAAATGGGACAACTGCTAATTAGGATGGAAGAAGAAACTGAGGAGACAGTTAAATACCATACCCAAATTATCCCAAAAATAGAGAAATTGATAGTGGATACTCGGAAAGAACAAAAAAGACTGCTTTATATGATGGAGGACCAAGAAAATAGAGAAAGGAGAAATAACATTAGAATAAGAGGAGTCCCAGAGTTGCTACAGGGGGAAGATTTAAAGGAGACCACATGCAAAATTCTGAACTCCATAATGGATAGACCTGGTGCGGAGACGTATAAATTGGATGGAGCTTATAGGATAGGAAAATTCCAACAAGAAAAAGGCCCAGAAAAATCAAGAGATATAATTGTCCAATTTCATAACTATGGAGATAAGGATGAGATATGGAAGAAGATTAAGGGAAGATCGAATATTAAATATGGAGGAAAAAATATTCAAAATTTTTGCAGATATAGCACCTGGGACATTGAGAAGAAAAAGGTCATTGAAACCACTGTTGGAACTGTTGAAAAGACATAATGTGCAGTATAGATGGGGTCGATCAGCATGTTTAATCGGCTGGAGAGATGGAGTCACTGCATTTTTGAGAACCCCTGAAGATATGAAAGAATTTTGTAATAGATTTGAACTGCAGAGAATAGAGAGATCCCGGAATGGGAAGAGGTGGA